CCGCGACCTAACCGCCACCGGAGTTTGAACTTCTCCCGAGGCCGCTCGCTATTGGCCCGCGCAGGGCAGACGCCGCGGTGGAGCGTACCACCGCCAACAGCTGACGGGGGGCAGGAGGAGAAAGCGTAGTGAGGGACAGACGGTCGGACAGCCCGGGAGCTTTCCGCGACGCTCCCCCCGTCTGGCGCGAGTTCTGCGATGGTGCTGGCCGGGCTGAGGCGCCGTGCAGCGGCCCGCCGCGGGAGCGCGCCCGTCGGAGGGGTTGTGAAGGTGTGCGGGGCCACTGACTTAATAAGCTATCTACCGAATTTAAATAGTGTGCTTTCAACCCTAAAAGTGACGTTGTTATGTAATTACGTTTATTATTTTTTTTTAAGTAAAGTTTATATAGGTATTGAAGTGCGGGTTAGCTAAACGAGGCGAAGGCGTGGTGGCTGGTGGTCAGTTATTTGAAATCAGTATTATTTCAGGGAGGAGAAGCAGACCCCGTTTTCCCGCTCTTCTGGGAAAAAAGCCTGCTCCGTGGTGGTGTCCGCCCGTGACAGCAGCAACGCGGCCTTCGCGGGGAGAAGGGGAGGAGGGGGGAGGCAGCTGTGAAGAGCAGCCTACAGACATCAAAAAAGAAGGCATGTGCCTATTCCATTTCTTTTACGATCAACTAATTGATGACTAATTTATGAAAATACTATTCATGTTTAAACGTTTAAAGTAAAAATACGTTTCTCCCCCCGTATTTTAATCATCCTCCTCTTCATCATCCTCAATGCCTTCCTCCTCCTCCTCTTCCTCTTCCTCTTCCTCAGCTGCAGCTAAGGCCTCTTCCCTGGCAGCCTTGAAAGCCAGTTCTTCTTCCAGAGTGGGATCTCTTGTCTCGGTGATTTCTGGCCCGCTGGGGTATTCCGCTTGCACTGGGGGAGGCAGTGCGGGAGTGTGGTTCTCTGGGCTGTATTTGTGACCCCAGCCAAAGTAGATGTTATCAAATTTCCTGAGGAAGAAAAGCGAGAGATCACACTTTTTCCCCCCAGCAAAACATCAATGCAGGACTGTCAGGCTTCCTTACTCTGCTCTGCAAAAAGTCACTGTGATGCAGACAGCCTATAACAGAAGTGTTTAAAAGATGGTGCCTCTTTTTAACTGCTGTAACTGTTGATTAATATATCTTCCACTTAAAAATCTCCAAATGCTAAAATGATGAAGGCTGTGCTCTGTCACTGCACTGAATTGCAATACGACTTCACATCGGTAACTTTGTGCCATCTCTGACGCCAACTCCAGTGCCCATTTAATAGCATGTAGAGGTAGTTAATGACTGTTCCATGCGTAGTGGAAGCGAATGAATATTGGAACCACAGAATGTAGCCATTTTTGTAAAAAGTACCACACACTCAAGAATATATAGGTTTTAAATCAAGGACTATGCCCAAATACTAACTGGACATTTACATCCATTAACTTTTTACTAGCCTTTCCAAGGATTATTAATTTTTAGACTTAAATACATATTTTCTGTTGCTATGCACAATTAAGTGGCCTTCTCCATCAGTCTCTGGAATAGTTGGAATGAATGAATTAATAACAAAGCAGCTTTGTCTTCATTAGGCGGGTATCTGTGTTCATCCTGTACAGTCTGTGTTGTAACCGTGTCAACTACTACTCACCTGCCAGATGCAAAGGCAAATGCTCCGGGCCATCGGTTAGACTGGAGGACTGCAACAGCGTATTGCGGGATCAGGTTTGTAGAAGGCTGAGCTGTCCAAGCAGGGATGTTTTGAATTCCTGGAAGCAGCCAGACACACAGAGTCAATGAATAAATTGACTTATGAGCCTCTACAAAATATTTTAGACTGAGCTACAAGACTTTCACAGAATTCAAGCAACAGTTAAGTTGCATATTAGAAGAGCCAGAAGTCAGAAACAGTAAATGTAGGCGCTGTATTTACACAGGTGGTTTGGATGTATGGGTAGGTAGCACCAGAATGCTAATAGAGCCACGTACAGAAAAGATCATTCTTCTAAAATCCAGTAGTACTCACCGCTATTTCTTTTGTCAAGGACTTATCATCACTTATGAGTAAATTATATGGTTATATTTCACCATGATCAAAGAATGGAGAGTAGGAAAATAATTCACCATTGATGTAATCTAATATTCAGGTTCCCATATTCCCATGATTTGCTGCAGGAATATGCTACAGGATCTAAATTCTTATTTGTATATCTATGCATGTATGTACATATATATTTATTTATTTACACGTGAACACACAATATTTTTTTTGTCTAAAAAGATAATGGAAAACTAGCTGAATGTACTTCATGTAGTGAGCTGTCTTGAACTTGCAGCAGCCTGACAAGTCTGAGATATTTTTTTCCTTTATTCTCAACAAGATTGTAAACTAGTAAACCCAATTATTTCAGTTTTAATGTCAATACTGTTAACCATTTTGCTTTTGATCAATTTTGTAAAAGAATGTGCTTACCCTACAGGGGCAAACTGTATTGCTCCATGAAGCGTCAGAGTCCTGTAACTTCAAATATTTACTACCTAAATGCCAACATTCCTAGTGGCTCTCTATCAAAAACTTCATATTCCATGAAGAATACCTTCATCTTCAGAGAGTGGAGTGAGAAGAGGAGGTCCTATTTCTTGCTGTAGTTCTTGCTGTAGTTCATCTAGCTCCTCTGTTTTCTCTTCCTCTTCATTTTCTTCTTCTGATTTTTGAAAAGGATTAAACCAAACACAGCGACCCTATAATTGATATAGAAAAATAATAAATACATGTAACAATCACTGAAAAAATGCAAACCAGTTAAAACAATTGCCTCAAGCACACATGCACGCAGTTAAGGGAGGGGGGGGAGGAAAAGAAAAATATATATTCCATAATTGGTATATTGTTGGCAGAATATTGTATCCTCTGGCAGAGTGTTCCCTATATCCCTCATTCCTCCCTCATCTCTGCTTACTTTTTCAGAATAAGCTCATATCTCTGTTACCAGCTTTTCATTATTTTGTAGTCTTCAGTTCCTTGCCAGTTTGGATTGTATCCTTGCTAGACTACCAGTTACTGTAAACTAAGAAGCTACCACTTAAGGACTTTCCCCCTTCCTTTTAAAGTCTGCCTTGTTATTTAGCTGCCAGTCAGAGGAACATAACAAAATGTCCTTAAGTTTCTAATGCATATAGATTTTATTTTTACAACTATTGCTTTGGCGGTAATAATTTTAAAGCTGATTTCCTACCATTTGCTGGTATTTAACACTAGCATTCTTGAATTGGTAAACTGGCCAGCAAGTCATCCAGCAATGATCATCACATTCGTAGTACCTCTTTCCAGTACTAGCCCGATATCACAAATACTTTATGCTACAATTTTATTTACAATATTTTGGTTTTAAACTTTTTCATTTACATGTTTCACAGGAGAAAGTATAAATAAGTTCAATTTAGCGTACAATCATAAGATGTGTGCATTTTAGCATCCTACCCAAGAAAAGACAATTTAAAACATCTTTGTCAATGAAGGACTTCAAAAGAGAAAACATAATATGGAAGATTACCAGAAATTATTGTTATCTATCAAGGCCTAACTCCATACAGTTATCTAAAGATAGGTTTCAATCTCAAGAACACACACACCATTGAAACAAGTACTAAACCTAGAAGGTTCCTAAATATATATATGAGAATATATATGCTATATGTAAATATGTAGAACATATTTATATATTATATACTATATCACATATATTTTCTGTAGAAAAATATTTCAGTACCATACTTTTTCGGGTGAATTGTTCAAATGTGAAGGTGAGGAGTGTCGTTTACATACTGAAACCCTACAAGTAGTACAGTGTGAATGGTATCCAAGGTCCATGTAAGCGATGCCAGAACATACCTGCTTTAGAATACTCTGTACATGGTGTACCCACGTGGAGGGAGAATCCACCATTTCAGCCACAGAAAGAGGCTGATGCTGAGATGCGAGCTATCTGTGCACGCAGGTAATTGGCCTCATTTCCAGGGAAAGGAGGAAAGCTCACAACAGGAGCATCCAGCCTGCCAGTGAAGAACTTCTTGATTTTCCTGGCACAGACAATCTGGGCCGGCGTCACTGGAGGCAACTTCACCCAGGGTTTGCCTGGCTCATTACAGACAAAGTAGACATATTTATTAGCCCCAGTCCCATTTTCTTCTTTTGGGATGACAGGTGGGGGCTTATAGGTGGATTTTGGTGGTTCATCTTCTTTTTCTTTCTCCTCTTCTTCGTCTTCAACCTCACCCACCCCTTTCCCTTCTTCCTCAGTAACTTCTTCCTCTTCCTCCTCTTCCCCCTCATGGTACTGTACTTCAGCTATAATATAGTTCATCTCCAGGCCCAAAATTTTGCCCCAGAAGCGACAGGTCTGGATTGGCTGAACACTAATTAGTTTTTTAAGGGCAAGGAATATGTGATAGGATTCATCTTTGCTCAAGCCAATTCCAGCCTGTTCAAAATAAAAGGCTGTTTCCATCACATTAGGTAGAGGGGTTTCTCCCTGGGAAAGAAGATCCGGAGTTAGAGCTGAAGAATAGTATAATTACCTATTTGAAAAATTAAAGATGTTATCCACTAAGCATTATACTTCACTTTCCTGTAGTGCCACTCATTCTCTCAAAGAGCTTTGTAGATATTAATTAACTATCCACTATCATTTAGAAAAATTAAAAATGCCATTTTAAGGGTAAAGAAGAGAACTGCAGCTTTTAGAATACAGGATTTCAAAATGCAAACTCGTAATTGCTGCAAAATATGGGAAGTCAGAATTCTTACCCAGGATCTACAAAGGACTTCAGTGCTAGGGCACGTCAGCTATGTAAGAGACCTTGATGCCTGCAAACAGTGTCACTGTGTTTTCTTGTTTTTGTGGCAGATGCATTTGAGAAAAATATAATACATAAAGAGGGTACATGGTATTGTGGCTGCAATTATTTATATGATCATGAGAGACAATAGCACAAAGGAGACCACAACTTCCTCCCTTCCTCCTTTTTCTTCCTGCCATCCTCCCACCTGTTCCCTGGTATATACGATATGTATTTTTCTCTGATAATACTCACTATCTCTTCTTCTAGTTCTTCATCTCCTTCTTCATTCGCCTTGTGGAACAAAGCTTTACGCTTTTCTGCAGCTTCAAATGCTGGAAGAATCTCACATTCATCTCGAAGAGTGTCCATTTTTTTCTGAAATTGAGCCCACTTCACATCCTTGCTGATGTTCTCAATTACGTCTACTGCATTTGTGGGCTGTTCATCCAGGATCTTTGTTAGCATATTAGCAAGATGATCATATCTGTCATATAAATGTAAATATTATTGGCCTTCTATACAAAAGTCTTAGAATATTATGTTTTTAATATCAAAAGTAAACACTAATCACCTGGAGCTTTGGAGAAATCATTGCAATAGTTAGAAGAAAGGGGATCATGTAGCATTATCGGAAATTAGATTTGAAACTTGGCTGATTTTAATACACTTAGGAGTAGTCCTATAATCCATTTTTTGGTATATACCACACCTGCCTCAGGAGTCGAAGCTGAATTTAAACTTGCTCTTAAATCAATTTCCCTTTCAACTCTATAAATTCCTTTAGGAGTTTTTATTCTGAAAGATGTTGGACACACACAAGTATGACATAGCAATGAACTATTGCATTTATACCATATTCTCCCATTCTATATATATGCCCCTGGTATCCCTCCCTTCCTTAACACAGACCTTTGCCCTTTCAGTACCACTACTTTTCTCTCTGCTCATACTTCCTACCCTTTACAATTGTGTCCCTTTTATTAGACTTACAAGTTCAGGCCAGATGTCGTGCTGCTCTTCAGTAAATAGGCTTTTGCATTCTGAATTGCCAGCATTCGGGAGTTGGCATCGGGTATCTGATCATCATACGGACTGTATCCTGGCTGGTAAAGACCATAACCTGGTTCATGTGGCTGATAGGGGCCATGCCCACGTTCATAGGCTTGATAGGGATCTTGTCCCACTGCGTATGTCTGATAGGCACTTTTTGGTTCCTGTGTTTGGTGAGGGTCCAATCCTAGTGCATATGACTGATACATGGCTGTGTCTTGCTGCCTGTGCCTGATGAGAGTCTTGTCCCAATGCGTGTCTCTGGCTGATGTTTATTCTGGCACCTGTAGCTTGTGAGAGGCTTGTTCTGCTCCCCGTGGGCAACAGAGGTGTTGAATTGGGGTCTGTGATTGATACGGTGCTTGTCCTGGTGCACAGGTCTGGCTGACGCTTCCTCTTTGGTCTTGTGCTTGGGTAGGGGTCTTCCTCAGGTGGTTGTGGCTGATAGACACGCTTTCTCAGTCCTGCTGGCTGATCAGACCATTGCCTCACCCCCTGGTAGTCATAAGAAGTTGGTCCCGGTTCCCACTGCTGAGGCTGATGGGGGTCTCGTTCAGGCTCGGCCACGGCCTGGCCCGGGGGGTGCGGGCCGAGCCAGGGACACCGACCTGCCCTTCAGCCGCCGCCGGCTCCCCTCGTCGCGCAGCAACGGCTGGCCCCCCCGGGGGAGGGGGCGGC